GCATCCAGACTGTCTCACATCATGAGTGAGGAGAAAATTGCAATAAGCAAGGACGTACTGCTAGATGTAAGGATTGTTCAACTGCAAGCCAACCAATAGCAAAAGAACTAAACATGAGGGTCATTGGAACCAGATGGTTTGGCCAGTATCTTTTTCCCAAGATGATGTACCTATTTGTTGCGACCCCCACCACTAGCTGACAATCTTGAAAAGAAATTGTAGCATGAAGAAAATCTTACCATCATGCAATGTTGGTGTGTTGTCTTCATATGTCTATCTTGATGTCAAATAGCAAAAAAACCCTTCATATTCCATCTCCTACCATTCCTGTTCTCCAAAACCACCTCTCCCACTCCCCAAACAGAATGCTGCCACTTAATTTAAAAAATCTAACATCTTATTTGATACAAAAATAAATTTCCAATTATAATGCAACGGGAATTTTGTAATGGTCTGACTTCAAAAGAGAGAGGAGATCACTTGAGGACTGTGCTGGACTAACACATATATCTCAACCAGAATAATTCACCTAAAATATTCTCTGCTTCAGGTCTTTCAAACAGTGTTCTGTTGTGAATTGACTAGAAGTAATGTATTAATATCGTCATTCCTGTTTTCTTAAACTAAAAGAAACTGAATTAAAAGTTCATTGAATTTGCCCTATTCAGAATTTCTTAACTTTCAAGGAGTCATTTTCTGCTTAGGTGTCCCTTAAAAACAACCAGTCTAATCAAATTAAATATTGCAAAGTGTTAAAGCATGTGATTGGATTTCAGGAAGTCGACCTAACATGAGTTTTAACCCTATTTCTTCAGACGTTTAAATGATTAATTTGTATGAAATAAGGATGCTGCTGGTTGTGATTTTTAACTCTGGACCTTGCCAGTCTCTGGGTCATAAATGATCTCTATTTTGAACTGAGTTGTTAGAATAATATTTATGAAACATGTTCCCCCTACATATTGAAGAAAGAAAAATATAGGTATGCTAATCAGGTTAGATATTGAGAGATGGATTGTGTGAAGTATAAGTATCGACCAATTTCTGCACTGCTCACTCCATGCAATGTAACCTGAATGAATGATAATAATGTGAGCCTGAAAGTGAGATAAGATTATCTGTGAATCTTAGGACAATTTGTTGATTAAAATGTCCATTCTATTTTGTTTCAGTACATCATGAGCCACTGAATTTGTCTGACCTTGTTTGTTCTGTGAAATTAAGCAGTCCAAATTAGTTAGTACTTGCTTAGCATACTGTAGGCCATTTCTGTGTCTGTACTGTTCTGCTTTTGTCTGATCTTTGAAAGTTAATCAGACTCAAGTCTGGTCAGTATTCAATTAAGCAATAATGTCTGTGAATACTAAATGCAGCAGCCTTTATTTTTTCAAACTAATGTGACTATTGTAACTGTCCTGAATGTTTAATTTGCAGGAAACATATGTCATTGTTAGTAGTGTCACTTTATTATGCAGGAAGGGATAAGAGATTGCAAATGTGTTTCTAGTGACACCGGGGAAAACATACAGCCACTAATTGCAACAACAACTTGCAATCAATCTAGCAATTTTAATGTAATAGAATGTCCCAAAATGCTTCACAGCAATGTTATGAAACAAAATTTGACATCAAGCCATAATGATGACAGATTATTAAAAACTGGTGAAAGGGCTAGTTTTAAGAAATTTTTAAAATAGAACCATAGAGTCAGACAGCACGGAAACAAGCCCTTTGGACCAACTTGTCCATGCCGACCAGGTTTCCGAAACTGAACTAGTCCCATTTTCCTGCATTTGGCCCATATCTCTCTGAACCTTTCCTATCCACATCCCTGTCCAAAAGAATGTCTAAGGGATAAGGAGGTGAAGGGGTGAGGGAATTCCAGAACTTGGGGCCATTGCCACCTGAAAGTATGATCACTACTGATCAAGCAGGGATACGCAAGAAATCAGAATTGGAGGAGCACAGAAATTCTAGGAGAATGTAGTGTGCTGGACGAGATTACAAGTGATAGGGAGCAGAAAGACCAAAGAGAAATTTAGAAAGATAAATGTGTATTGTAAAAGTTGTGAATCTTTGTAAGGGGAGGAAAAGTAGGTCAGGGTTCGATAAAACTGGCCTGTTTACTAGTCTGTGCAAAGCAAGAAACAAAGGCACTATGACCGTATACTTTCCTCACATGAGGTTCACAATTCTGATGATTTCCATTTCTCCCTGCATTGCAAATTGAAAGAATTATCTTTCTGACTACACTCAAGACGAGTATTTTGTTTTCTCAAATGACTAATTTTAATAGATCTTTATCTGAGATAAACCAAGAATTAATAAGAAAGCAGAGTGATTAAATTGAAAGAGAATGGACGGCAGCAGATATTGAGAGTAATCAAGTGGCAAAATAAGAACATAGAAGTAGTTAAAGAGTCTCCTAATGATTCCATGGATTAAGCAGTAAGTAAACATGCTTTGGCCTCTAAGGAGACTGCTCATTGCAGATTAATTATCTCTTAATAGCTTCATGTTTATTGGTCTAAGTGATATAATCTTTCAATACACAACGTTGGCATTCTCGTAGCAATTAAAGAAAGCTTCCAAAATTTTATTTATGTATTAATTTAATATGTCTCTCAGAAAGGCCCAAAATATGCACGTTGAATAAATTACATTGTATGGTGTTGTGCTGTAAATACAGTAGTAATTTTGTGCACAGCAAAGTCCGACAACCAACAATGAGATAAATAAAGAGTTACTCTTTCTGTTGGTTGAATGAGGAATTTTGGCCACAAGACAACACATTGTTCCCCTTTGAACAGTGCCAAGGGATCTTTAATATTCACTTGGCGTCACACATCTAGAACCCCAGTTTGATTGAATAGCATTGAAAATTTACCTCTGAAACAATGCTGTATTTAAATAGCATTCTAGATTATACAGTTATACAACATGGAAACAGACCCTTTGGTCCAACTAGTCCATACTGAACATTATTCCAAACTAAACTAGTCCCACCTGCTTGCTCATGGCCCATATCTTTCCAAACCTTTCCTATTCATTATGTGTCACAATTCTCAGCAAAATTGAAGGTACAACTTTGTGGACACTGATACAGTGTCCACCATGACCTTGGTGCTCCAGCTCTGTCATTTGTTAGACTTCAGATGGATCTCAATTAGGGTGCCAACTCTGGCTGGGAGTGGAAATTCCTTCATTTGATCTCCCACTGCCAACCAACTGTTCAGTCAAACAGTGTTTGCTTGCCAATCTCCAATATCTTTACTACTCATAACAAGGTTCTTAAAAAAAGTCCTCACCACATTTTAATATCATTGTGATTTTTCTTCTAAATTGTTCACAGCAGTGTCTAAGAAATTAATGTTTAATTACTAAATGCTCCAAGGACAAACCCAGGGGTTGAGAACCCTAATGTGAGTGGGAAATGTTCCTGGTGATGGACTGTATTGCATTCCACCTCATGAACATTTTCCAGAATGGAGCCCAATGGACTACAAAGTACTCTTGTGGGCAGAGACAGGCAAATTCACTTAAAATAAGAAAGACCAACACCATCACACTTGCCATTCTTCCTTTGATCTCTGAATGATTTGTATGCATGATAGGCCCTATTATTCCAATGTTTAAATGGTAGTGGAGAGAGTCTTGGGCTGTACCTCCCTCTGATATAATTAATGATTGATTCCAGTGCTTAGTACAACTCTCTGTAGCAAGCGGTAAAGGATAAAGGCAAGAACACCCTTGTCCACACAGCAAAGTTTTTCATGAAACCAAATTGGTTTACCAGGTGATACTTTGATCGGTGCATCATTTCGAAAAGAAAGAATGGAAGAAGGATCACTGACTCTGAAATGTCAATTGATTTCTCTCCACAGATACTGCCAGACCTGCTGTGTTTTTCCAGCAATTTCTGCTTTTGTTTTTGTTTCTGATTTCCAACATCCACAGTTCTTTTGGGGTTTTTTTTGTTAATCCTCCTCAACGGGTCATTACAGCTAGTTGTAGGTGAATTTGGCAGATAACAGAGATATTACCTACCATGAATTGTGACCCTTCACCTTCACCTCAGAAATACTGAGATAAAGGTGAAGATATTGTAGATGAAGCGTAAGGTGGATTTAAGGTGTGTGAGCCTATGACTGGGACAGGAACAAGGTAAGCCTGAATCACGTCAATAAACAAATAAACTTGTTTCGTTTATGCATTTCTAATTGTAAAATAATGTGTGAATTGCAACCACAACATGGGCTGAGGCACTAGAGCAAATAGATGAAGTTGAAACTTCATGAGGAGTAAATGTGAAAATTTTAAAAACAAATCTTATATGGGCTCGTAAACCGAACATAACTAAAATATACAGTAAATCAGAAGGCACCCCACCATTAACGTGCTTGCCCAAAGTATTATAATTGTCACCTAGAAACCTGAAAGTTCTCTTGTGGGTGAAGCCATCATGCCTCATGGCATAGTATTGTTGCTTTGTGGTTGCATAAATGTTTAACCTTTTCACCAGGACACTGTTGGTATTGTGATCCTGTGAATGTACCATTCTTTATGTGCTTTCCCTTTGCAGACATCAACTGGCTGTTGTCAATTTGGAGCATTTTCAACGTTTGTTTCAGATTTCCAACAGTCCCATCTTGACTCTTTTCCATCATAAACAGCCAAAATGATCGTTTACCTGGAGAAATCCAAGAGGGTAATTTTGGAGATGTAAATTACTGTAACGAATTCCAAATAAAAGTTCCCAACAAAAACGAGTTGAACGCAGTCATTAGAAGCCCCAGCAGGCCAGAATGATAGGAGTTCAATGCCTTTAATGTAATTCTGAAAGTTCAAGAGAAAAAGAGGCAGGATTTGAACGCATGCCAGAGGCTGGTGCGGGTGCACTGTCGCTTTAAGAAAATCTTAAACCCCTTGAAAACTGATCTTGCTGCTTAGAGTATTTTTTTTAAAAAAAGGGATTTACATTCAGAACAATCGCACAAATTCTGCACAACGGACCTCGTTTGGATGGGGGGGCGGATTTTACGTGCATTTCATGAAGTTTCTTTAAAAGATGCTGGCTGCATGGGTTGGGAATAGTGAAGGCAGAAGCAAACAGAGGTTGCACACATCGGGAAGAGTTTAAACGATCCGCCACTCCACTCACTCGACCAGACTGTTCTCAACTATCCGGGAAGAAAGTACCGGCACTGGGATTGGGACAGAATGTGCTGGGTATTCCCAATCCTGCTACTCACTGCCCTGGGAGGAGGCTGGGGATGTCAGCTACCTCACGACTGGAGACCACAAAGTGAATCGTGTCGAGCTGAACTGGCCGAAATCATTATCTACGCGAAGGTGCTGGCTGTCTACAAGGACACTTACAGTGTCTATAACTACCTGCCCTGGCAATATGACACCGACCTCTTCTACTCGGCAGAGGTCGAGCTGCTGTGTGACCAGGCCTGGGGCAGTATGTTAGAGATGCCGGCTGGAGCCAGGTTTAACCTGACTGGACTGGGATACTTCCCTTGCCACTCTTACACGGTCGTGGAAAACAACATTTACTACTTCTTCGTCAGGTAAGAACACAGCAACTCGTGCGGGAGTTAGGAGGTAGAGTGAGTGGATGGGTGAACACTTAGCTAGTCGTACCTCATCTACTTTGCCTTTATAAGAGAGAAAATAACACGAAATGGGGAGGAAAAAAAAAACACCAGGCAGCCGGCCATCCGAGGAGAGAAACAGACGGCAGGTTTCAGTTCAATGATCTGATTGATGAACTGGAAAGGTCACAGAAAGGTCGGGGTGAACAACACTGATCAGCTGAATTGTTAAGAATGTTTCTCCCCACAGATCCTGCCTCACCTGCTGAGTGTTTCCAGTTTTTGAGTTTTGCGTCTCTTTTATTCCCAACACCCCTGGCGTTCTGTGCATTGATGCTGAATTCCTTGTATTTTCCCCCCGGTCGCACCGCAGTGTCTCTCTCAGACCCCAGGATCCTGTTAGCGGACACAGCCTCAAGCTCTGAAGTGTTGCTGCGGAATGGGCAGAATGGCCTGACCCCCCCCCCCCACCCCCTTCAACATAATGGACATTAATTGGAAAATGACTGATACATTTGCTCTGGATGGCGCGGGGGACGCGGTGTGTTTATTGCAGGGACAGTAACATGAGGGATCGTCCCCCCCACCCCTCCCAATCACCTGTTTGTCTCCACATATTCAGTAAACGAGCGAAAATGCCTGCTTTCAGTTTCATTCCTATGTTTGTGGGGGGTTATATCGTCTTCCTCAGAGGCGCAAAGCTGAGGTGTTTGGAGATGGTATGTCGGGAATTTGCGATTAGCGCACTTGTCAAGGTAATGGTGCAGCCTCGATGGGCTGAAGGGATTTTTTCTGCGCTGTTTGACTCAATGAGTCTGAACTGTCCCAGTGTTAGAGACAGCTCTCTAACTTGCAGAATCGTCTTTAACTATTGATGATTGAGCTATTTGTTACATTGAATGAAGTTGATTAAGTGTTAGGGTGGTTATCACCTAAGCGCTGATCGGAAGCAGGGGATGAAGATATTTCTGGAACAAAAGCAGAAGTTGCTGGAAAAGCACAGCCGGTCTGCCAGCATCTGCGAAGAAAAAAAAATCAGAATTAACGTTTCGGGTCCGGTAACCCTTCCTCCGAACTGATGGTAGCTGGGAAAACGTTGGTTTATATGCAGAAAATAAGGAAGGGCTTGGGGTAGGGAGTAAATGATTGGAGAAAGGCCGAAGAGAGAGAGCAGTTGGACAGACAAGAGAGTTGATAACAATCTGGCTAGGAAGATGTATAGTTGTTAATGGGGACTGTTAGTAACTAACAATAGGTAGTGTATAATGGCAGGCTATGTGATAACAAGGCCTGGTATGTGGGGTGGGGGGCTAGGACATGGGAGAGTTTAGGCCCTAAAATTGTTGAACTTGATATTGAGTCCAGAGGGCTGCAGAGGTCCCAAGCAGAAAATGAGGTGCTGTTGTTCCAGCTTCTGCTGAGCTTTGCTGAAACACTGCAGCAAGCCCGAGACAGAGATGTTGGCTGGGGAGCAGGGTAGTGTGTTACAAGTGGCAGGCAACAGGAAGTTCAGGGTCTTTGTTGTGAGCAGAATGTAGATGTTCTGTGAAGCGGTCACCCAGTCTACGCTTCATTTCCCCAATGTAGAGGAGACCACATTATGAGCAGCGAATGCAGTAGACTACATTGTGTGAAGTGCAGGTGAAGTGTTGCCTTTGGATACTGGGGAGGGAGGAGGTAAATGGGCAGGTGTTGCACCTTCACTGGTTACAGGGGAAGGTGCCGTGGGGCTGTGAGGAGGTGTTGGGGGAGAAGGAAGAGTGGACCAGGGTATCCCAGAGGGAACAGTCCCTGCAGAAGGTGGACAAGGGAGGGGAGGGGAATATGTGTCTGGTGGTGGCATCTTGCTGGAGGTGGCGGAAATGGTGTCTGATGATCTTCTGGATGTGGATGCTGGTGGAATGGTAGGTAAGGACAAGGCGAACCCTATCGCTTTTGCGGGAGGGAAAAGAGAGGGTGAGGGTGGAAGTGCGGGAGATGGGTTGGACCCGATTGAGGGCCCTGTCAACAATGGTGCTGGGAAATTCTCGGTCGGTTTTTATGAAGATATTTCTGTTGAATGGTAAAATTGGTCCTTTACATCTGATGGACTTCATAGAATCCCTATAATGTGGAAACAGGCCCTTTGGCCCAATAAGTCCACTCTAATCCTCACAGCATCCCACCCAGACCATACCTCTATATAATCTAGGCATCCCTGATCTCTGTGGACAATTTAACACAGCCAATCCACTTAACCTGCACATCATTGGACTGTGGGAGGAAACCAGAGCAGCCAGAGGAAGCCCATGCAGACACAGGGAGAACATGCAGACACAGGGAGAACATGCAAACTCCACACAGACAGTCATCCAAGGCCAGAATCGAACCTGACTTCTAGGCACTGTGAGGCAGCAGTGCTAAACACTGAGCCACTGTGCCACCCTCAAATCTAAGGAGTTCAGCTTCCATTAAGCACTGTGAGTCTAACATGATTTGAACACACAACCTTCTGATCTGGAGTCAGACGCACTACCATTCTGCCACAAGCCCACACTCTTGTTGCCTTTTTATGAATTATAAAAATGTCCAGACACACAGTGATTGAGATGGCCCAGCTAATGGGGTACACAGTTACATATTTCTGCCCAGCTTGAATGAAGAATTGAATTGAATTAACTTTATTGTCGCAGACTTCTCCCCACTTCCTTAATCAAATAGAGGAAAGGACATTTTCTGTCCAAAAAGTCATAACATTACTGGCGATTGGAGAGATGTGAAGCTGTTCCTGTTGAGAAAGGAATGTTTCTCCGATGGGGACACTTCCAGCTTACCTAATACAGTACAGGCTTCCAGCTATCAGATTAGGATGGGAATGGTTCCGCCTGTTTGATGTGTCCTTTTGTCCATTAATTGCAGATGTTTTACTCTGTCTCTATCTATCTGATGGAGAATTTTCTGTTCATCAGACTGATATATTTATATTTAATGCAGATGTTTGGCTCCATCTGTTGCAGGCACTTCTGTTTATCTGCTGGAGATGTTTACATCTGGTAGAAATGTTTCTGCTGATCAGACACAGATGCTTCTGTCCATCATATACAAATTGTATTCTGAATGGAGATGTTCCTGTCCATCCCATGCAGATGTTTTTGTCAGATGCAGATGCACCAGTTCAATAGATGCAGATACATCTATCTGCTGCAGATTTTTTTTTTGACAATGAGATAGACACAGATATTTTGCCCAGCAGTTGTGGCAACATCTGTCTCTCTAATGGAGATGTTCCAGCCTGCCTCATCCAGATTCTTCTATTTAAAGCAGATGCTTCTGTCTCATTGAAATGCTTTTTGTTCATCTACTGGAAATGGAACCTTTTTGTCCATTTGATGTGACTGGGCTGAATGGGGAAGGGGCATTTGCTACCATTTGATGGAGGTGTTTCTATTGATCTGATGGCAATAAGGATATTTTGAAGTCATTTGGTTTTAAGAAGATCCAAACATGATTGACTGGACAACAAGGACTGGATTTTGTTAGAATACATTCCACGATGATTGTTTCTAAACAGTAATTTAAAATTTGCGATAAGTCAAACAATAATTTAGACATACATTTGGAAAATAATGGTGCAAGTTGATATGCTCCAACGGTGAATCTCCCAGAAATAAATATAAATAAATCAAATCAGGGCTTTTGTGAAAAATTACAGGAACTAACTTGCAAAAACAGTTATCAGAAAGTTTTTTGATGATTTTCTTTCATTTGGTTTTCAAACGACAGGAAAAATGAAATGATAAGTCTGGAGTTGCCTCTGAAGACTAACAGTAATTAGCAGAAAATGAATCATTATCAGTTTTCTAATTGAAAACCTTTGATGTGATTTAAGCTCAGTCACAATTATATATCAGCAGTGTGTGTAAATGTTTGGTTAGAATGTGCTCCTACCTGGCATTGATTTCCCTTAAAGCCCCAGACATCCATGCCATCCCACTGTGGAGTCTATGAGTGCTGTGGACCTGGCACACTGTGTTGATTATACTTTTTTTTAGTGAAAAATATTCCTTTTTTTGGCTGTGTGTCACTGGCAAGGCCTGCATTATTGCTTATCACTAACTCTTTTAAGACGGAGGTAATTTGCAGTCACTGTGGCTACTGTGGCAAATGTACAGGCATGGTTCAGTTAGGTAGGACATCCATAAATTTGTTCCAGTGATAAGAAAGGAACAATAATATGTTTCCAAGTCAGGAGTGATATGTGACTTGGAGGGAAGGTTATAGGTCATGATGTTTTCATGCACGTGCCGTACTTGTCCTTCTGGTGGGCTGAGGTCATTGGAATGGAAGTGTTGTTGAACAAGCCTCTGTACGTTGCCGCCGTACATCTTGTAAATGATACACGCTAACAAGAATCAATGGGAAACTGGGGGAAAATTCTCTGCTGGTTGGAGTCATACCTGGCACAAAGGAGTGCGATTGTGATTAATGGAGGCCGGTCATCTCAGCTCCAGTCCATCTCTCCAGGAATTCCTCAGGGTAGTGTCATAGGCCCAAACATTTTCAGCTGCTTCATCAATGAACTCCCCTCCATCATAGGGTCAAAGGTGAGGATGTTCACTGATGATTGCACAGTGTTCAGCACCATTTGTGACTCTTCAGATAGTCACACAGTTAATTTCCCAAATTCAGCAAGACCTTGACAATATCCAGTCTTGGGCTGACATGTGGTAAGTAATATTCACATCAAACAAGTACCAGATAATGACCAACAAGAGAGAATCTAACCAACACCCCTTGACATTCAATGGTGTTACCATTACTGGATCCCCCACTGTCAACATCCTGGGAGTTACCATTGATCAGAAACTGAACTGGACTAACCTCACAATATTATTTCATTTATTACTCATTCAAGGGTGTGGGCTTTGCTGGCTGGATCATTATTTATTGTCCAGCACTAGTTGGCCTTGAGAAGGTGGTGATGAGCTGTCTTCTTG